CCAGGCTCCTTCCACCTATAGCACTCCTTGATTCTAATATAATGTATTAAGAAAGAAATATTGGTTGAGTACCTACCATGTTCCAGGCTGAGGTAGAGGGACAAACAGAACAACCTCTGCTGTCTTGAGGTTCATATCCCAATTAAACAATCAGCAAGTGAGTAAACAAGATCATTTCAGATACGTATAAATGGAACAGCGAAGAACAATGAAACCACAGAAAGACAAAGGGCAACTGGGAGGTTTCCACCCAAGATGGTGAGGGAAGGTCTCTCTGAGCAGACGACAAGTGAACTGGCACCCGAGGGGTGGGATGGAGCCAGCGTGTGATGACATGACAGGGCAAAGGCTGGGAGATGGGAGTGCGCTGAGCCTGTTCAGGGCCCCAACGACAGAAGCGTGACCAGAGCAGACTGAGTTGGGGGAAGCGCTGCGCAAAATGAGGCTGGAGAAGGAGCAAGAGCCAGGCCAGCGAGGCCCTTGCCATTCACGGTAAGGAGATCGCACTTTCTTCCTAAGTGCAAAGGGAAGCCATTAGAGGGTTTTAAGCAGAGTAGTGACGTGAGCTGATTTATTTGTTAAAGATAAACTGAAGGGAAGAAAAGATAGGAAACCTGCTTTTCCTGTGGGTGATGTGAGATAGGAGGGAAGTCTCTCTTCTGCCCATTCATCTTCAAACGTGGTTGACATCTGCTCCGAGATTCACTAGACAATGTTGCTTGAAACTAGATTTTTCTCCTACTCGATGTGTCCAAACTGAGCATGAGCCAGAGCTGAGGGGCAGGATGTGGTTTCGGTAAGCCGTGACCGCCGTCCCTTCCTCCAGGAGCCCAGAACCATTCCTGTTACTGCGCAGCTAGTCACTCCAATCACGCTGCACACCCCGGCTGCCCACATGGCGGTGACACCGTGGGCTTCGCCCTCCTTAAACACAGCCACAAATTACTGGCACCGGGGCTAAAAATTTGCCCAGGAGAAAACAAACAGCCACTTCCAAAAGAGACATTTTCCTCTGCTCTTTTTTTCTGGTGACTAGGGGCTGAGAGTCCCGTTGGCTAAGCCATCTTGGTAAATACTTTGCTAGAGACAATTCTAGTCTCCTAGGCACACAGCTTGCTTGACACAGAAATGAAATCAAAGAATTCTGTCCTCTTGACTATGAATTTCACAGAATACTACCTACTGGTTTGTTCTCGGTCTATAACATTACACTGATACGGAAAATAGACCTAAGTGGTTTACCCAAGGCAATTGCCTCATCCTAGACATGCTATTAATACTTTCTGCGTGCTATTTCTCCCTTAATGTTAAAAAATGATTACCTGTCACAAGGTAATATTGATATAAAATTTCCAGACTCTATTTTTCAGAATGTAACAATATATGTTACTGCTGCTATTTTTAGAGTAAAGTTTGGCATTAGATGCTAATTTGATTGGCCTTGAGAAACTGAAGTTTGAAGCTACCAAAATACATGTTTTCTGTTAGACATATCTGGGCCCAGTTCTGGCTCCACCACTTAGTACCGCTGGTATGTCTTAGGTGAGTTACTCACCTCCTCTGAGCTGTAGTTGCCTCTTTTGTCAAATGGGGAGCCCACCCCCACAGGGTTGCCATTGAAGATTAAACAAGTTCACACATGTAAACTGCTTAGCACAGTTACTCTCTTGTAATAAATACCCATTATTATTAGCAAACTAAGACTTCATGGTAGATGCACTTATGGAAGTCATAAAATGTATCAGTGTTAATTTTATCAACAGATAGACACTAACGGTATCCCAAACATAGTAAAAATGACAGAAAGCAATATTAAAATTTGAAAGCATTTAAGCATTTGGTTGACAATACGTAAAATTGAAATACAGGAGTTCTAATCGTCTTTAAACCAGCTGTAGTTTTACCCTAATTCACCATGCCCTCTCTGGCAGTAATTTTACCTAGTAATATATTCTCTGTATTATGATAAAAACTAGTAACAATATTTATTGAGTATATTCTTGGTACCAGGCACTTTTATGAGTACTCTGAGTGCTTTATGAACATATGTAATCTTCACAACAACTCTGAAATGGGTAATATTATTATGCATATTTTGCAGAAGGGGAAACTGAGGCAGTGTGGCTCTGCAGCCCTCACTCTTGAATTCTATGATATATACAGCAGAAGTTGGCAAATTATGGCACAAGAGCCAGATATGGCCCCACACCTGTTTTTGTAAATAAAGTTTTATTGGAACACAGCCACACCTACTTATTTACATATTATCTACAGCTGCTTTTATACTACAACTGCTGAACTGAGTAGCTGCAGCAGAGACCATCTGGCCCAGAAAGACTGTAATATTTACTATCTGGCCCTTTACAGAAAAACGTTTGCTAAGCCTGATATAAGTAGCCCTTTTATTTCCATTTTAGAAATAAAGAAATAAAGAAAGTGGTTCTGTGAGGTTAGCTGACTTGCATCATAAACTCCACAGTCAACTCCATGAGTCGAAGGATGCTGTGTCTGTACCCTCATATCCGTATCACCTACTGCAACACTGGGACAGAGTGGCCACTCAAAAAATACTTGCTAAATGAATGACAGTTGTAAAAGTCACCCAGCTGGAGAATCTGGGTCTCCTCCTGACCCCACAGCTGCCCTAGAGGTGAAAAGAGGGACTTTCTCCTGAGAAAGGATTAAACACAGGGTAGTTAACATGTCACGCGGCTGTCCGTAGACACATTTTTGCTGCTGTATTCCTCCTTAGAGGTCATCTCGGTCAGACCAAAGGGTTTTTCTTTTCCCTCAAATGCATAGTCAGAGCTCTGAAAGTGTTCTTGTCCTTGTGATTGGTGCATTTTTAGACAAGATTAAAAGTGACACCCTCATGAGATGGTAGTCACAAGGAATCTGGTTTTGGATGGATTTCAGACCAAGCTCTGCCCACCCTCCTCCCTCCCCCTTGACCCACCTCCCACCCCGATGAGTCACAGTGCACAGCCGACTGCCCTTCCAAGAGCCACTCAAGGCTTTGTTTTCTTTCATCATGCTTTGTGCTGGTCATGTGAGGCTCGGGGTATTAATAGACCATCGGCTTGGCCTTCTGCATCTCGTTGTTGGTCCAGGAGATAAATGAAAGGTTTTGCCAATCCCTTTGTGCCATTTTTCACTCCTGTTTCAACTTTCACGTTGCTAGTTGGTGACAGCTGAGCCAGACAGGCAGAGGGCATCCAGTGTGGCCACTACCCATGGAAGTGGCCTTGACTTCCAATATTGGATCACCAATACTAACCTTAACAAACTAGCCTCAGCCTTTTCTCTCCGCCTTCTCCCAGTCGGATGACGGCATCTTTGCTTGCATGTGTGAGAAGTATATAAACCAGGCAGGAAAAGGTTTGGGGGTGTTTTGGTTTTTTTTTTTGAACTTGAAATAAAATTATGCTCAGGAAATTAAAAGTCTGTACGTGGTTTGACAGGCTCCCAAGAGGCTCCACAGGGACAAAATTTTTAAACAAATGCTTTGGAAGCAGAGGTTCTTTGACTTGCTTGGGGCTTGGATCCAAAAGTTTCAGTTCTCCCCTGCAGCCCAATTTTTAGAATGTCACTTTGCAAGTTCCCTCAGCCTTGAGTCCAGCACCCAGCACAGTGTCAGACTCAGTGTTTATTGACCCGAAGAAAAGCTGGGCTGGGGCCTGGCCAGGAGATGAAACTCCCTTAGAAAACTTCCTCGAGCAGAGACTCAAGCTTTAAGAGAAAGCGGAGATCTCAGTTCTCTGAGTCTAGTTTACTTTTTAAGCCTAAGGCTAGTTCATTTTTCTTGGGGGCCTTGTGGGTTCTGGTAAGATTATTTTCACTCAACAGCAACCCCTTCTGTTTGATAATTCCATGAAAGCAGGAAGCGTGCTGAGAAGGGCTCTGCCGAGGCCGCTCCCTGCTTGTGGAGGACTTGCCAAGGTTTGGCTTCTCAAGCCTCACTCTGCGCATCTGTTAAATGGGTCACTCCAGTCTCAAGTTTCATTTTTCAGCAATAGAATCTTTGGATTTTTAAAATCTTGCCACATCTGTACAGAGCTCTGCTATAGAAGGGAAAAAAGATTGGGCTGAGGATGGGCCAACTTAAGTTATTATCTTTATTTTTTCTTATTTGGTGGTGATGGGGGTGGTGGGAATGGGGGCATACTCCAAAGAACTGACTCGCCTTTATTTTCTAGCTGATTAGTGCCAGCCGCTGTGCTCAGGGATGTGAGTGTATGCCCTCACTTAAAGCTCTCAACAATCTTGAGGACTGTCAGTATTAGTACAGATGAAGAAACGGAGGCACCAAAAAAGTCAGTAATTTGTCCACAGTCACAGAGATAATAAGCAGTCAAACCAAGACCGGAACCTAAACCTAGAGATGCAAGGATCCTAGCCTCTTTGTAGAAATAGGTTCTCTACATCCCTGCATCCCTCCCTCTTCCAGTGACTGGATTCTTTCTACAGAAAGTTAAGTGTAATGAATAGTATTTTTATTGAATGCTGCATAAGCAGGAGACACCCTGATAGAAAGGCCACTTCCTTGGAAAGTGCACAGGGATGCTGAACGTGAGCTTTTAGGTGCCTTGAGAGCAGTCATGGCCAGTGGGGAAGAAGTTCAAGCTGGGGTAGAATTCCTGCTTGGAGCAACTGTATGGAACTCAAACATTCGCAGGTCATAGGAGGTTTTGTTCCCTTCAGAGTACATCAGCTCCACTTGCTGAAGTAGGACAAGCAGAATGAATTAGTCCGGGCTGCAGCCAATCTCTTTATATGTAAAAGAAAAAAGCAATTAAATGTTCAGCCTGATTCCTGGGTTTTGAATTACCCCCATTTGTCTTTCACTTTGAGCATCTGCTTTTTATTGCGTCGTGGCCCTGCCTGCTATTTATCTCTCCCCCTCAGTCTCTATCTCCATGTCATGTGACTCAAAAGCGAAGATTAGAGGAGAAAAAATATCTCTGTATCCTAAGCCTGGCAACTTCTATTTTTATCCACAGCTGTTGGAACTGATAGCAAAGTCACAGCTCACATCCCTGAGTGGCATTGCCCAAAAGAACTTCATGAACATTTTGGAAAAAGTGGTACTGAAAGGTGAGCTCTCTCTCACTCTCTCACCCCTTTTTATAGGCACGGGGACAGACAGATGGATTTTCCAGTAGAGTGGACATGTCATTAGATTTAAGGGAATGTGAGTGGATGGAGATGAGTAACTCCAGATACAGCTCAGTAGTGCCAGATCCCTGTTCAGAAAAAGGTACAACTCATGCCCATCGCAAAAAGAGCATCACCCTCCCATCCTTTTACTGAATCCATCCCTCCTGCTGTCAGCCTCTCAGGCTTTTCGGTGTAAACACATGTTCCCACCTAGGCTACAGAGTCTCTGCATCCCAAATTCCTAGAAAATTGACCTGTGTACAAGGCAGAATAGATTCATTGACTCTGTGAGCCAGAAGGAACCTTAGGTTTTTGGATTAACTGACTCATGAAAAAGTGATTTGTCCATAATCACACACAGAGTCGCCCATATATGATTAGAACCCAAGCTCCCAACTCCCATATGCTCCTATCACCGACCACCTAAAAGGGACGGCACCTCCAGGCAAAAGCAACTGCTTTCAAATCACGTGAACCACTGGTGCTGGTGGGACAATGAAAAAGAAAGAGTCTTTGTAGAAAACTAGGGAGACAGAACAAAGAGGGACCTAGATAATGGAAACTCTACCCAGTAACCTCGAGGGCAGAAGCTGGCCAAGTAGACAAGAAACACCAGCAAGAAAGAAAACCGTATCCCCTGAGGCAATACCCAGGTAACTTGAGCAGAATAGAGAAGAAAGGCCACTTATACAACATAGAGTGTTCCAGCAGCCTAACTAATCTTCCTTTTTGTCTTCTCCACCCAAGTCCTTGAAGACCAGCAAAACATTAGACTAATAAGGGAACTACTCCAGACCCTCTACACCTCCTTATGTACACTGGTCCAAAGAGTCGGCAAGTGCGTGCTGGTCGGGAACATTAACATGTGGGTCTACCGAATGGAGACGATTCTGCACTGGCAGCAACAGCTGAACAACATCCAGATTACCAGGGTAAGCGTGACCGCCCAGCTTTGTCCTGGCAGGAAGGGCTTCAGTCGGCCGAGATCCTGGGCAGCCTTACCAGGACTTAATCTCCATGCTGGTGATGCAAGAGCCTGGACCATTCTGTTCTGATGCTTTATACTAAGTGCTGGAGGTGGGCTTCCTGATAGAGGGAGGGTGGGAAGAAGAACTTGGCAAAGCAGGATCGGACTATGTAAACGGTGAAACCTGGTGGGGAAACCGGAAAGCAGGCTTTGGGGAAGATGCTGGCTCTGCCCCTGCAATCCTCAGTGCGATCTGCAGACCTCTCCTCTTTGCCCATTTCCTCTTAAGGCATGTGTGGTCCGCAGCTTCAGGACGCTGCCTGACTACGAGGGAGCTGTGGTGGCAGTGGCTGGAAGAATGGGTACCAGCCTTTCAAAACTCTACTTCCAATTCTCAATAGTTAAGACAAAGGAAACCTTTGATTAAAGACTATGAACATGCATGTCAGAAAAGATGAGCAATTCTAACTCAAAGCCAAAAAAAAAAAAAAGCCCTATGTTACCGGCTTAACTACTATCAGTAGTCTCCTTTAAGTTTTAACCTGGACTTCGGCTCTTGTCCTCTTACCAGCGAGCAGGAGGACAAGACACGCATGTGCTGTGAGAAGGACGCTGGTGTAATCTCCCAAGGCTCACTAATGGACAGGCGCTCTTAGGCGGCTCACGGAGCACTTGGTTCACTTAGCTAATCACTGACCACAGCTGTTTTAAGTGGTTCCGGGACTCACGCTCATCAAGTTTGGGTCTGCTCCGCCTCTCAAGAAAGTAACATGAAAAAATCCTTTGACCTCTTCTCAATAATTTTTTTACTCTATAAAGTTTTCAAAATGCAGTGTCCTTGACATTACCATTAATAACCTCTCTGTGCCTTAGTTTCTTAAGTTCTGAAACAGAGGCCTCAGAGTTATGTGACTTCCTTAGAATCACTTAGGCTCACACAGACACACACACACAATGCAGAGCACAAACCCGGGTAATCTTTCAAAAGCTATCTCAATTATCTACTGTAAGAATATATGAGAATTTCTAATGAACATTTATCTGACTTATTTTAATAATTTATTCCATTCCCATCTCTCAAGTGTAGGCATAGTTTGACAATGTGAATTTGGGACCCAAATTTCCAGCTTATCTCTCACAGAAAACACACTTAACATTTTCTCCCTGATTCCTGGCATTCCCTGTAGCCTGGACTTAATACTTACTGTTTTTTCTAAGCCCAGAAGAGAATTACCCAGCCAGTGATATAAATGAGCAAGTCCCATTTGTCCTAAAAGCATTCTTCCCTCCCGCTGTTTTGGGACACTGATTTGGATGGTCACACTGGCCCAGAGCTGGCCTCTGTTCCCTCCTTGGCCCCACCCACCCACATGCCTTGCACACCCATGGGCTTACTCCCCCAGAGCTCCTTTTACCTGATGCACATGCGCTCTTGGGAGATAACCTCTGTAGTTGCTATTTCTTCATGAGGTGGGACCAGAGAAGCCCAGTGCTTTTCCCCAAGTAACTCAGCAATTAGGGACAGAGCTGGGGCCAGAACTCTGCACTTCTTATTCCTAAAATGGCAAAGCTTTCTTAACATTAATGGTTTCCAAACTTTTTTTCAACCCAGCTTTCTTCCAACTATTTATTCAGTGATTCAGCTTTTTGCAAACCTTTAAATCCAAAGAAATCCCACACAGGACCTCTCGAACACAAGTTCACTTCACTCTGCTCGTGGTACTCCAGCGAGGCCAAGCTATTCTCTGCACACTCTGAGCTTCATCCTGGCTCGGGCCTTTTAAGCTTGTCACCCCCTCTGACCGTCCAATCTGTTGAAGCCACTGTCATTTCACCTTCCTCAGATCAGCTTTTACCATCTGAAATTGTCTCATACGGGCATTCACTTCCCTGCCTCCGTGCACTGGCTTATTGTCAGCTCCACAAAGAAAGGACATTACCATCTTCTTCTCTGCTCTGTTCGCTCCACCGGGCACAGAGCAGAAGGTAGTCAATAAATTTTACTTGAGTGAATGAATGATTTAAAGGGACATTTCCTCCCCCCGCCTGCCTGAAGTACTTGTTCAAAGTTCAGAGGAATACAATTAGAAAATACTGCCCTGTAATATGGACTGATGACGACAATTGATCAACTGCAGGATTTGGGGCAAGTGAGTCAGCCACTGCTGTCTCCATTTCCTCATTTGGAAAATAGGGCAGTAATGTGCATCTCATAGCTCTGGTGTGAGGTTTAAAAAGTTAATACATGGAAAGCACTTGGAACCATGCCTGACATGCTGTAAGTCTTGTAATGGCACCAGCTGTTATTATGAAGGGCCCACACTGTGGCAGACACTCTTCTAAGTCCTTTACATATGGGGGCGGGGGGGGGGCACAAGTAGGTTTCCAGTTGTGAGCACACGAAACACAGAATTTATTCTTGTATTATTATTTATTATTTTCCATATGAACTGTAAACCTACTCTTGCCCCACTCTGTATATTGACTCATCTAGTGAATAATTGTAAGTAGAAGTCCTTATAATAAGTAATATTTACCGGACACTGTGCTAAGTCAGGACTTCCAGGCATCATCTCATCCCAGCAACACTGTAAGATACGCTTTTTCTCATTTCATAAATGACTGAGCTGTTGGGAATAATTTGGCCCGGGTCTCTCCACCATAAGGTGTAGCGTGAGGATTGAACCCAGACCGCTCTGCCGAGCCATGCTTTTACTCAGTGCTCGCTCCTCCCTCGTGCTGTCCTGGGCTCTGAGCTGTGTGACTGTAGAGCAGGGAACCCATGGAGCCCTGAAGAGCTTTTCATACAGATGCCCAACTCCCCGGGCGGGGGGGGGGGGAATAAAACAGAGAAAGATGGTGGGGGGACTTAATTACTTTGGTCTGGACTATATTTAAAAGGCTTACTTTTTAACAGTTTGTACTAAAGAAAAGTACACTATTATATGAAAATGTTAAGGTGACATTTACAGTAATTACTTTCTAGTTGCCAAAGTTCTATCAGTATCTTGCTTTCCTTCAAAATTTCATAAGCCTATAGAGCCAATTTTTTTATTAGCAAAATCATTAATATAATAAAGGATAAAAACCAAAGAGAACTGGTTTGTGGGGGGTGAGGGGATCAGACAGAGTCACAGTGTGCCGTGAGCAAGGCAGGGTTTCAAAGCCTATGGGGCAGGGTTGATGTAAGGGATTTTAGCCAAACACTTGATCCCTAAGAGAAGAGTAACTTACTTTTCTCTTAAATGTTAATATTCAAAAAGAAGAAGGCATGCAAGCAGTTAACCATTTATCAGGACTAAGGGCTCTCGGCATGGGGCCTGGGTAAGAGTTTTGTAAAAGTTCAGGTTTGAAAATTTGAGAGTGAACTCTGCCAAGTGGACTTTAATAAGAGTTCATATAATAATTGGCCTGGGAGTTTTAACCAAAAAAGTAGATGCTTTGAAGTGCTGGGAACAAAAAGAAAATCTCATGGCAGTTTTATTAGCTCCTATGATCAGCAGCAGATGATAAACGACAAATAGGTCTAGGGCCTTCTGCAGCCCAGCAAAGCCCTGGATTCTGCAAACAATTGAAAGTTCAGCCCAGCAGCCTGAGCGATAAAAATCGCCAAGTCATAGACACTTCTGATGAGTTAGGAGGCTGAAACTGCTCCAAATCTTAGCTTGCTGGAGCTGGAAGGGATCTTCAGAGTCTTCTAAACCAATTCATTTTGGACATGGGGACACTGAGACCTGACTTCCAAGGATACCTGGGGTCCAGACCTGTTGCGTGTCCCTCCCCTGTCCCTCCCATGCCACTTCCCGTTCTTCTCCGCAGTCCATCTTTCCAGGACCCCCTGCCACTGCCCACCTTCCCTCTACACGCCTGTCCTGCTTTGCAGGGGACACAGGATGGAACTGCTTAGACTGCACGTCCTCCCCCACGACCCCCCCACCTCAGTCCTGTGTGTTCAGGCTTTAATGTGCTTTGAGGGCTCAGGTGTCACTAGGGGGCAGTGAGATAGGCGGCTGGGCCAGCAGGCAGGTGGGGTGGGAAATGCTTTCTCCAGTGCAATGAGCCCTTCCAGAAGGTAGCAAATCTCATAATTGAGTGAACTGACTGAAGGAGGAGAATCCAACATGTGCTGCTGGGAGAATCTCTAAGAGTCCAAGTATGAAGCTGTGTGAAACAGGAAGATCTCTCTGGCACCACTGAGGGCCCGGCTGTCCTTTGTGGTGGTAGCCATGGGTCCTGGGTCCGCGCTTAGGGCAGGGAGAATGGCTGCTTTTGATTTCTGGCCAGTAAACCAGCGTGAAGATGGAGGGCGAGGGGACAGCTGTCTCCTCGGAGAGCGTCGCCTGTGCGTTGCTGCCCTCCAAGACCTAACGTAACCCTCTCCCCACAGCCTGCCTTCAAGGGCCTCACCTTCACTGACCTGCCTTTGTGCCTGCAACTGAACATCATGCAGAGGCTGAGCGATGGGCGCGACCTGGTCAGCCTGGGCCAGGTGGCCCCCAACCTGCACGTGCTCAGCGAGGACCGGCTGCTGTGGAAGAGGCTCTGCCTGTACCACTTCTCTGAGCGGCAGGTCAGTGGGGATAGTGGCCACTCCTTCCTTCTCTCCCTCCTCTGTACCCACCCTCAAGCTTCCCAGGCATCTTCTCAAAGCTTGAAGTGTGGGTGTCTGCCCACCAGGGCTTCCTGGTTTGACTGGAAAACAACAGTCCAAGGAGTTTCTAAATACTGGGTGTTTGGGATTTTGTTTTCTTTGGAGGGGGGTGGTTTTGATGGAAAAACACACACACATTCTTATCCACGCTTTAACAACTTCTCCCCCCAAAAATTCATAAAGTGGTAGTAGTCCTTTTTTATAACAAAGCAACTTATATGTTTCTATTGTACAGCTGAAGTAATTTTACAGGTTTTATTTCATTTTATTTTAACGACCCAGGGAAGGGTAGATATCGTGATGCCCACTTTAAACAGATGAAGAGGCTGAGGCCACAAATGGCTGAGTGACACATCAAAATTAGTGAAGGGGTTCTCTAGTTGAGGAAACTGCCCTTGAATTTGAATTTGGGCCTTTTGACACTGACTCTAGGCTCTTCCCCTTCCTCATGCTGCCTGTTTTGTTTTTTTTTCCAACTTCTTTATATAAAAGTGTGAGTTCAACAAGTTCTGCTCTTGAAGACTGTAATATTTAGACATAAAGTAGAGCCACTGTGCCAAGCAGTTACTGCATCTCCCTGGAAATGATGGCTCACGTTGTAGCAAAGAAAAGACTGACATTGTTTCTTGAGGTCACCTAAACTTGAAAGGACTGTCCAAGCGCAGCTCAGTAAAGGTCACTAGAAAGATGTCACCAACCACCTGTTTCTTTTTTTCGTTAAAAGCTACTGTTTATCAGAAGATACTTCTATCTTGGCTATTTTTCCCTAGCTATTGCAGGGTAGAGATGAAAAAGGAGGGAAGGGGGTGGGAGCAGAACAGAACCAGAAAACCACAAACCTCTTCTTGCTGAACTCTCCTGCAACGACTTTTATTTGATATTTAGATCCGCAAGCGATTAATTCTGTCAGACAAAGGACAGCTGGATTGGAAGAAGATGTATTTTAAACTTGTGCGATGTTACCCACGGAAAGAGCAGTATGGAGATACCCTACAGCTTTGCAAACACTGTCACATCCTTTCCTGGAAGGTATGTGTCTCGAAGGTGGCTGCCACAGACCCGTAGCCCAGCCCCCAAGAGCCAATAGTGCCAGCCATTACGACGCCAGATCCTTTTCCAATCTTCACCACTGCCACCTCCAGCGGAAGGTGAAGGTAAAACCAATTCTGGTCCTGGGGAGAGAAACTTTCAAATACCTTAATTTCCCTCACCCCCACCCTTAGGTTCCTATTTTTTCCTACTACCCACCCATCCTAAAGTTCTCCCATCTCTGTGCACAAGTGCACATGCATATACACGTGCGCACAGCTCTTTAGTTTTTCCAGAATTTATGGCATTCTTGGCAAGGAATGTTGTTTTGAGGTTGGGCAACGCGTTATGGTGCTCCAAGCCAACGAGATGCTTCTGAGAACTCAAACCTGACCTTGATGTTCCTTTCCAGGGCACTGACCACCCGTGCACAGCCAATAACCCAGAGAGCTGCTCCATTTCACTCTCTCCCCAGGACTTTATCAACTTGTTCAAGTTCTGAATCGGAGCACATGACAGCACTTCAGAAGGGTTCCCCTGCTGACTGGATGGCTGGGAATACAGAGTTTGGACACTTCCTTTGTAAATAGTGTACATTTTAAACATTGGCTCGAAGCTTCTGAGATAAGTCACGGAGAGGACATTTGGAGGGGAGAGACGCAGTCGCTGGCTGGGAATTTAAGACTATAGCCTCCTCATTAGAATTGGTATGGAAAAGCAGAAATACTGTAAATAAACTTTTTTTCCTAACAATTTGCCGGCAAGACTGTAAGGGCAGGAGTTCTGTGTCGTCGGTGAAAATGGAATTCTCTCGACATTCACTGAAACTCTTGGATAGTTCCTAGAAATGCAGAAGAAGAGGGCAAAACTCCAATACAAGATAGAACACGCTTTGTTTACAATGTGAAAATCTGCTTTAAAAAAGAAGAAGAAAAACTACAGATGAGAAATCCCTGGGTTTTTGGTTTTGATTTTGGGTTAGTTTTAAGAAGGCAAGGAAAGTACCACCCATCATAAACCACATGGGCATACACAGGGCCTTATTTACAAAGATGTCACACAATAGTCTACCTCGGAAAGCACACAGTGATCTGACAAAATGCGGTGTCCAGTAGGCAGTGTCTGTTTTTCTTGTTTTTTCATCTATAAAAAGTGATTTAAAATAGGAAGGGATCTTGAGGCAGAACTCATGTTCCTTATGAGGTGAATGGGGCAGTCTTCGGAGTTGCCTCTCGTCTAGAACAACCCCCAAAATACATAGGCTTTGTTTCCTTTCATGCTGTCACTCATTCGGGGCAACATAAGGCCAATTAAAAACCGTCCCAGAGGATGTCCTGCCCCAGAAAAGATAGAATGAGTCACCCTGTAGCTGTGAAAGCTCTCTTATTCCTGTTGAATTTCCGGGCTTGTCTGCTTCCTGGGGTATCTTCACGGATAAGCATAAGCGTGTCTCTGTGGACTGGTCGGAGCCAGAATGCTGATAAAGGCTTGTAAAGTAGGTTTGACGTGTCAGCGAGGCGTTTTACCGGCTGCCCTTCCTCTTGGTGTGTGATGAACTGAGGAGCTTTCTTTTCCTTACGTCCAACATCAAAATATGGTCACCCTGAGCTAGGGCTTCTTGCAGGGATGATAAAATAAAGCCTAGAGTTCCAGCCAAATAGGGAACAGAGAGGCTTTCAGTTCATCCTAAATATGCTTTGTACCCAGGGTATCTTGCTAGGCCAAGACCAGCAGGTAACTAGGTGGGAGAAAGGGAATCTCAGGATGTAATAAGTTTATTGTCAAATATTCCTGGGAGCGGGTGGGGAGTGTTTTTGTTTTTTTACTTTTTATAGAACTTTGCTTTTCTACAAAAATGTACATATTTTGCTGTTGTATTTGCTTTGCCTTTTTTTTTTTTTTTTTTTGTAAATAAAGTTGCCACCCTGCATGTCCTTGGAAAATAAGCAAAGCCAAATAGGAACTTGGTTCCCATTCATGCTGAAGATCGGTGCATCTTCAGAGGTTGAAGCTGGGGTGATCTAAAGAGGGACAGGTGGTTTGGCTGAACAGAAACAAGCCCAGGAACCAGCTGGTGATGCTGGGCCTCTTCACGCCCTTCCCTCAACACACAACTCAAGTACCAACATTTGGAAGAGAAGCCAACTGTTAGTCAGTGCCCCTCACTTTGCAATGTTTGTGCATATACCAGGGTTTCTCAATATTTTTTTTATTATCACCCTCCCAGAAGAAAAAATTGAACTGAATTTAAATTCCCCCTAATAAGAAAAATTAAATATTAAACAATAAAATCTTGCTGGGTAAGGTCGAGCTTTGGAGGGCCACAAACCGCTGTAATACTGAGAAATATTTTTTGCCCTCCACCCCGCCTCCCAGCCCAGCCAGGATCTCCCTGAAAATGCAGGGCCTACACTGCAGAGTTTAAAAGCTTCCATAACTCGGGCAGCTTTTCTCAAATGTCTGTTTTCTTAAAGAGGCGGGACAGAACTTGGGAACCTTTGACTCTTTAGGGTTAGGTGTCCATGGCCTTCACATCTTTCCTCCAACTTGTGACCTCTGCCCCTTCATGCTGATCAAGGAGTGGAGGCTCCTGGGCCCCTTCAGGTTGGTGGTCCCAGAAACGTCACCGGCCCTGGCCGATCCGCGCAAAGCTGGCGAGCCAGCCTTGGTTAGGCTGCCCGCAATGCTCATGGTTGCCCATCTGCCCGAAGCAGCAAGGCACGTGTGCGCAAGAGACCCCTACCCACAAGTGGCAGGGCTTCTGTGTTCTGAGATATTTACCTAGGAGGCGCCTCTGGGCTCTTGCATCTCCTCTGGCGCCATTGGAGGTGGTGTGTAACAGAATTAAGGGAAATTTTTAAGGAACCCACCCCCCGCCATTTGTAGTTTTCTTTCATTGGAAAAGGAGATAAGAAGGAAATGGCAGGTGGAGAGGGAGAGGGAAAGGAAGGGAAATGGCATCTCTTTGAAGTTGTGGTGTGTGTGAGGGCAATAGGGACAGGCATAGTGGTCATAGAGCATCTGTGTTGGTGCCACATGGCAGCTGTGACACGTGGCCAGAGCCTCACATATAAGTAAAATGAGGTAAAAAGAAAATTCGTGTTCCCTGGGCACTAATCATCTATAAAATGTCTCATGGCACACCCTCCAAGGACAACTTGATCTGAAAAACAGAAACACAGAATCCCCATCTCGTAACTGCTGGTCTTAAAGCCAGAAGGGACATGACAGTGGAAATTGCTGGAAGAAGTAGTAACACTCTACCCTCTTTGCTGTACTTACCCACCCCCACCCCAACCCTGTGGTGTAGCATTTGAAACGGATGTGAACTATGAAGTAATGGGGACTTACAGAAAAGGAAAGAGTGTTGTCCAGGGCAGTGTGGGCAAATCCACGAGGGCACTATCATTTGGTCCAACGGAAAGGCTTATGAGCAATGAGCCCAGGGTTTCTTGAGAATGACGATGGCACTTGAGGACAGGAGAATATGCGAAGTTTAGGAGTGTTTGCTTTATAGCAAGATCCAGAAGAAAGTCCAAAGATGTCTTAAACTCTTGCATTATGACTCAGCGCTTTGAGCAGACGGATCAGTTATGTGGAAGGGCGAAGGGCAGACACTTCTAGGTGACAGTTGTGTAATGACATTTGTTTAGGGACGATCAATTTTATATTAAAGTGGCTCAGAGAAGATACTTGAGATGAGTCTTGCTTATACTGCAAGACTCAACACAAGAGCAGGCTTTACTTGGCAATGGTGAAGTAAGGCAATGAGTGTATGTTGCATTATTGCCACAGTTCTCACCCGTGAATTCAAAAACTTTCATGACAAGCTTGCCATTAACAGATGCTCCTTCTTGTCGTTGTTTTTATGTGGGAGACGAAAATGAGTTTGGAATTTCATTTGTCTAAGCAAGTGGTATGATGTACAAGAAGGTCAATCATTTCAAGACATGTTCAGCAGTGTATCATCCTTAGCATTCAATACAATGTTTATCATAAAACATGCACCTGAGTTTATATTTCTCTGCCAGGCTGTAGGGCAATAATGTCTTGCTATGCAAACACTCTATTTTATGTGTGGATTTTTTAACTGTAACTTTATGTGTGAATTTTTCTAACTAAAGTATATCATCAGTTTCTATGTTGACATCTGTTGTTTTTTTTTTTTTTAATCTGTTTCCAACTCTCTGAGTCTGTGAACCATCCCTTCTGACTGGATGCTGGCCTGAAATCCTATTAGTGTTTAAACAGACCTCAGAAACACCCTGAACCTCTAGGCAAATGCGGACATGTGGCTCTTTGATATATCTTGGGCCCTTGATGTCTTCCACAAACAAGATCATAATTCCTTTAAACTTGACGTTTTCTATAGATGCTGTCTTCTCTGCTTTGTTAAAGAAAGTAAACCCTCCATGGTTTTCCAAGGGAGGGAAACTCTTACCCTAGACCTGAGCACTGGAAGGGTGGTTAGAGATGTGGAAGTCTGGCACTCTCTTTGCCTTTTGAGATGAGGCAATGGGTCCAGAACATTCCAGGGCCATGCCTCAGCCCGCCTGGTACCCAGTGGCGGACCTGAGCTTACACCTGGGACTTTCCAAGGCCTCCCCTTTGTGCCCCAGCCCCAGCACTTCTCGGCGTGGCCGGGGCCACAGGACGCTGGCACGGGTCTTCTCAAGACCCTCACTGTGGGAGGCGCGCATGAGGGTCCGGCGTTCAGCGTCTGGCTGTTGACTCCTCCAAACATTTTAAGTCCCTGATCCTCCCTGAAGAAATTAAGGAGCCATATAATAATTTCACAGACTTCTGACTCTGCTGTGAGTACAGGCAGCATTCTAGTGAATGCAGTCTGCTGGCCAGAAAATAAGCAGCTTGTTTGACCAATTCTTTTTCCCTGGGTACTTACATGTTAATTACAAAAATGACCCTTAAGACAGATAAGGACAGAGCACCTGGCTTGCTTTCTAGAAACTGAGCACGTGTTTCCTCTCCCCTTAGACTAAGAGGTGTATTGAATCCATCCCTGCCATCTCCCTGTCCTCGGGTACCTGCTGGGGATGCTACCCCGTGAGCGTCTATCCCCACGGAAGCTTGCTCTCTCCCAACCCTCACCTTTACGAAGCAAGGGGGTATTATTCCATGAGGCAGCAAGGCACAAGGAACCACGATAGTCAAAACTTTGTCTGCTGGACGTTTTTCAAAGTGTCCTTGAACTCACTCAGCAAACAAAACTTCCTGAAAACTCTCTCAAAACTTAGGCCCTGCTGCATTTGGCCAAAAATGGATGGCTGCTCCGAAACCCTGAACCTCTTGAAATTCCATCTGCTACAGCATTACTTCTGGGGTTTGAACATGACTTTTTCTGTCTTTGAGTATAGAAATGTTTGTTTAATTAACGATACACAAGTATGTTAAACAGAAGGCTCCCAGCAGTGCTCTCCACTTGAGAGCTCATGGCGCCATCTTTGTCCTACCCAGTGCCAGTCACCCTGGCTAACGGGGCTACATTCAAGCCCACAACCTCAGCTTAGAGGCTTGACTTTTTTAATGAAAAATAGTATAGGGGGTTGAACATTGTAACTAAAAGTATAAGGTTAGACCAATTATGTGCAAAGATGTTTATTTAATATTGTGTGAGCTGTCCATCTGTATAAATTATTTGCACACTTTTCTTGCATGATGAACTGACTTTTTTATAGTTGTTTGTACCAGACGGTGGTATATTTTTGTAAAAACTTTTTGACACTGAATTGCAATAAATGTTTTTCCAACAACACACACTGGTATGTTTTCAGTGTGTATCAATTCTAGTTGGCTTTTTGTCACACTGAGTATGTTTACCTCTTACCTAGCTAGGCGTCTATGCCTTCTCCCAGAAACTTCTCTTTTTTGTAAAATTTCTAGGAATACATAGAAAAAGAAGCTTGCTGCTAAGTACCAACCTAAGTCAATAATATAGCACTATGCTTAAATGGGATATTTCTACTTAGTGTTTGTACAGTACAAAGATTAGAGAATAATGAACTTTGAAGTCAATAGCAATTTACTCACCAACAGACATTTAATGAGTAACTACTACATGCTAGACTCTGTGCAAGGCACTAGGAATAGGAAGATGAACAAGACCGATATGGTCCCTGCCGTAACAGAATTTAGGTTCTAGTAAGAAAGAAAAAAAACAAGTAGGAAAGAATTTTAATTTGTAATAAGAGCTATGAAGGGAATAAAAAAAGGACTAAGTTGCAGAACAATAAGGGGGACCTACTTAAGAAAGGCTGAGCAGGGGGCCTCTCTCAGGAAGTGATGTTGAAGCTGAGACCTGCAAATTCAGAAGGAGCTGGCCCCAGAACAATAAGGTCATGAACATTCCAGAAAGAGGACATGGCTTGCGCAAGGTTCAGATCCTGGTCCTGCCAGATAAAGGTCACACTTACTTAATTAACCCCTGTTTCAATTTCCTAAACTCCAAAATGGTGATAATAATTTACTTCTTACAGTTGTGAGGGTCAAGTGAACTCTAATATATGTAAAGTGCTTGAAGCCAGGCATACAGTATGAGTTCAATTTATGTCCTGAGCAATTATGATTCCCTGAGCAAAATATTCTGAAAGTAGGGTTAAGAATTGCATTGCATTCCCAGTTGAGTTTGATTTGCTCAGGTGCCTTACTTGAGGGCGACTATCTTACTTGATACATTCACTCTGGACCATACCATGATGCTGCCACTAACTCTCCATCAGAACATGACATAAAATGTGCATGAGAGCTAATGTTTGAAAATTTCTACTAGGTTCACAAAATTTCACCATTTCCTAAATACCCCTTGCATTCTTTGCTCAGGCTGTTCCACCTACCTAGAATGCTGTTCCCTGCCCCTCTGGTCAGCATCTAGTGCTCCTAGGGCTGCCTCCTCACTGAAGCCCCCTCCAACTGAGTAAATCTCATCTCCCATAATATTCTAGTCTTATTTATGACTGTGTCATAGTGCCTAGCACAGTGCCAGGCCAGAATGAATTAATAAACCCACATATCATATATTCATTACATGCATTAAAGTCTCAGTTATGACCACATACTTACATTTGGCTAGAATAAGAATCAATATGAGTTTATGTGCATAGCTTCTCAGTTAAAAATTAATGGTAGTTCATAAAGTAACAAATGTGGAGACCCATTTCCATTAAAGTTTCTTTTAAGTTCATCTAAAGCTTTACAAGTCAAGCAAATTTTCATACGCAGTAAGAAGGTTTTCTTTTATTTGATAATCTCAAACTGTAAAAGTCTAAAGGTCCTTAATAAAAACAAATCCTTTAACAAACTTAATAAAAATTCCTTAAAGGTTTTTAAGATGCAATTATAAATCTAATGAATTTGCTTTTTTTATAAGCAATTCAAATACCTGCTCAGAGGAGCTACAACCCTAATAAGCAAAACATTCCCAAGTAGAATTAATAACTTATAAATTTAATAAAGTAAGCATAAATATATCTCAAATTCTCTACAAATCTCTAACATGGTAAAATTAGTAAAATTTTCATACCTTTCCACTTGAAACTATACCTTCCACGAATTACTTATTTTAAGTGGGAATCATAACACTGTTATGGTAGGCAACGTAATGGCTACCAAAGATGTCCACATCCTAATCCCTTGCCCATGTTATATACCATGGGAAAGGGAAAATGCAGGTGTGGCTAAATTAAGCACTTTGAGATGGGAAGATTATTCTAAACTACCTGGGCGGGGCAGGGGGAGGCCCGTGTAATCACAAGGATCCTTAAAAGTGGAAGAGGGGGACAGGAGCGTTCAAGTGAGGCGACGTGAAAAGAACTCATCCCGCATGGCTCCCTTTGAAGACGGAGAAAGAGGACCATGAACCAAGGAATGAGAGCAACCTCTAGAATCTGGAAAAGGCAAGGAAATGATTTTCCCGTAGGGTCTGCAGAAAGGAATGCAGCCCTGCCAACACTCTGACCTTAGCCCAATGAGACGCATGTCAGAACTTCCTGTGAATTTGTGTTGTTCTAAGCTACTAAATTTGTGGTAATTTTTTTACAGCAGTAACAGGCAACCAAAACAGTTCATCTGATAAGATTCTCTAGGTTGCCCAGCAGCCCATCCCTACAAAGCTTTTTCTCTAGTCTTTTCAAATTTCCTTTCAGACAAATTTCCACTGACTTTTCTGTTACATGTCCCCCACCCCAAACTGAGTGAGGATCTGTCTGCAAATGAAACGCACAAGTGTCTTTTATAGCCTACTTCAGCAGCAAGAGTTATTTTGACCACCCAGATGTATGGGCCTGCAAGAGCTAGGCAGGAGAGCTCTGCCAGCCAGCGGCAAGTGCAAAGTTGTCTGCTTCCCAGTTTCCATGAGGCAGATGCCACTCACTTTGATGCCCAAGGAACATTACCAAGAATCAGCATTTCAAATTCTCTCCAATAAGCAATGTTTATGAAGCAGCAGTCACCTAGACCCCGGAACAGCCACTCAGCCGTGTGAGCTCAGTGCTGGCCCTCAGGGCACTTACCCACCTGGTCCGGGGGCCAGGAAGGTGCGAGAGACCTATAACACAAGAGCCACAGTTCCAAGGGCCCTAGTGAGGTACAAAGTACCAGAGGACTTCAGAGAGGAAGGACTGAGTTCTTGTTTTTGAAAAGGAGGATAATGTAGGTAAGACACAAACCCAAAACACACGCTTCTGGAATCAGCATAAACAGACTCTTTCTTTGGGATCTGGGAGCTTAAGCACCAAAGACCAAGACTTCACCATCCAAGCCCATTTGATGGTATCAATAGAGTTCTTTAAAGGCTCTGAAGTGTGGGTAGATTTCCCTTTTGGAGGGAACTGAAGCTCTCTGTGTCCCCTGGGTCCCCGCGCCTGAGTCCACCAGTATTCTAAAAGACTAACAGAAACCCAAATGAAACCCCGGTCCCTTTCAAGAAGCCTGTCACAGTTATTTTATGTGTCAACTTGCCTAGGCCATGGTTCCCATTCATTTGATCGAACACCAATCTAGAGGTTGCTGTGAAGGTATTTTTTAGACGTGATAAACATTTGAATCAATGGATCTTGAATAAAACAGATTACCCTCCATAATGTGGGTGGAACTCATCCAATTGGTTGAAACGCTTCAGAGAAAAAGTCAGAGGTCCCCCACCTCTCCGTCCCCAGAAAGAATAAATGCTGCCTCCAGGCTGCCTTGGGACTCAAGGCTATGACATCAGCTCTTCTCTGAGTCTCCGGCCTGCCAGCCTGCCTGCAAATTTCAGACCTGCCAGCCAAGAACTGTGTGAGCCATTTTCTTAAAACAAATAAATCTCTGTAGATAGATAGATTTTAAGGAATAGAACTGAGAGAGGGAGAGAGAGGTACTATGTATATCTATAGGTACATAGATACATGATAGATAGATGATAGATAATAGATACATACATCGATACATACATATATAGATACATACATAGATAATAGACAGGGATACTCATGCTTTTGTTCTGTTTCTCCAGAGAGCCCTGACTATTAGGAGCTCCTAGAAAGAACAAGGGCAAGGAAAGAGGCAGGAGGAAGGCTTCAGAGGGCTGGAGGGAAGGGGAGAAAAACCACAGGGAGGGCAGGATCTACTGGCTGTAAGAGGCAGTCAGCCAACTACCACATCCTGAGAAATCACATTTGGCAGATGCCAAGGAGTCCATCAAAACAGTCACTCTTAACCCACATATAAGTGTTTTGAGTGGCTCCCCTTCCTTGTACTTTTTAAACTTGTACTCAATTGCTTTAATTGTATTTAACTATTCAGTTTTTTCTTAATTTCAAAATTATTCCAAGGAGCCCTATTTCCTTTGAAAAGGCAGCATAGTGTGGTGATCAAGAGCAAAGAATCTGAAACTAAACTGCCTGGGTTCAAACCCCCCTCCGCCACTTGCCAGCTGTATCAGACACTGTGCCAAACTTTGCCATGCCTTAGTCCCTTTGTCTGTAAAGTGGGGCTGGTGGCAGTACCTGCATCACAGAATTTCTGTGAGCAGTAATGGAGTTGGTGCATTTTATGTGATTAATACATTTTGTGCGGTTAGAGCTGAGGTTAGCACATAGTAAGCTTTATATAAACATTTCTTATTATGGATCACAAGTCCACTTTCCATTTTGTTTTTGCCTCATGTGCTCTAGGCAGAAAAACCACGTAGATTTCACTGGCTATAAAAAGAAGTATAATTAGTAAGTCAACGACCCCCCACCCAAAGTGTTTACACCAGTGGTCTCCAACCATCCCATTAGTAAACATCGTTTAAGCATAAATCCAACATGTGTATATTTACTTATCTGTGAAGTATAGACAAGCACTTTCATCACAAATATTTCAAAGCATAATCAACACTTACAAGCGTCATCACTAGTAGCAATAGATATAAATCTATTATGTCAAATAGTTGTGATTATTTTGAATTTGCTGGCCAATTTCTGATCAGATCTCATTAGCTTATCATTGTTTTTAGCTCACGCTACAGCCAGTGAAGAGGCAAGTGACAGATAGGATCTGAGAGAGTCCTTATAAAATAAACCAGGCTGCAGAATTTGACCTGAAGGTCATCAAGAAAGCCGTTCTCATAGAAGCCTCAGCAAGAGCCATATAAGATAGTTGGGAGTCAATACTGGGGAAAAAAAAAAATCTTTTCATGTTTATACCCCAAACTGAGACTTCTCAGTAAGCTAGTTCCAATTTACACAATATTATTTACCTGTGTGCCTGACCCTAGGTTTA